CTAAACGGATAACTAAAGCTGACACCGAAACGTTGCAACACTACCATATCACACAACCCCAAGATAGTGCCATTTCATGTGGTCATACATGAAGTAACAACCAAAAAATAGGAAAACTGAATAGAAGAAAATGGAATAGAATTAAAAACAAGAGTTCATTAATTAGCCTCAATGAAGGCATGAAACTTTTTTCACATGACATTTTGGCCTCAATGTGAGAGCTCTCGTTTTTCTGACATATTCTGGCAGCTCAATTCGGAGGACATAACAATAGGTTCCCAATAGGCTTTACCGAGATTTGCCCTGATTGTCATGCACAAAGGTTTCAGTACAAGTATCGAAGCATATCTCGGAGGTGGGCTATTGTCAAGACATTGAACTTCTTTTGTTTTGTACTCCAAATTGAGCTGCTTTGACGTCACATGCAAGGCATCTATTGATAGGGAATAAGATTACTATTACTTGTGACCACTTGTTGGGGAAGTGAGAGGATGGATACTTGTTGCGGCTGGGGAGAGAATGGGTAGAAGCAGGTTTAATTGTGGGCAGAGAGAATGCATATTTTCAAGTTAGAGAAAACAACTAATATTAATAAAATGCTTTTAATATTCTTTTTTATGTACAACATTGTATAATTTTTATCGCTGAGATAAATTACACAGCAAATAGACCCCTTGCGATGATTCTGGAGAGGAATTATTGTTCTGGGGGTCAAAAACAATATTTTTTTTGCATATGTAAATACTGCCTATTGCTTTGTCCCCCAGAACAATTCCCCTAGGTAATAAATTCAAGGGGCCTATAGCTTTATAACAAAACATGATTTTGTTGTTGCAGAGATTATCTCTTGCCATAAAACTGTAACATTTAATTCTGTCAATTCTAGCTTATTTTCAGTTTTTATTTTTATTTTTTGATAGCTTTAAATATATTAAAGAAAGTCATCTGATAATAATTTCATTGTCACTATGAAAATTGTTTGAGCTTGATCAAATTGGATTAATTTTCCATCCTTTTACCACAAAATATTTTGTCTCATTTTTTGCTTCCTTAGTAATATTCTATGGTCATTGCAAATATTAGAGAAACAACTTCATTTTTTCCAGTCAAGTCATTTTTATATAAATTTCATAGCTTCTAACCTAGATTGACATAAAGTGCTAAGCTGATAACCAGATGTCACTTTGTTAAGATGACACTTGAGTTTCTCCACATGCGAAGAAAAGGTGCACATTATGGAGCCATCCATTGCTTCCTGTAGCCCCTTCTCACTTATACCATCATTATTCACACCAGTTCTATGTATATAACCAAGATTATATAGCCTTGCATAGCTTTGAACTAACTGAGACAGCAACAACAGGTAGACATGGCAGTTTTCAGATATGTGTGCAAGTTTGCAGCCTTTCTTTCCTAACACCTTGAAGTACTCCTTATCAGAAGGCACCCTTAAAATGCTTGCTTGTTCTCCATCTTTATTGGTTTGATGAAGTTGGTTGGTTTTGTTTAGAAGATTTCTTTCAGTAGTCTTTAGATATGTAGTCATGGCTTCACTGACAGATACATCTAGTGGTGTAAGACCATCTTTATTTGTGGCTTGTAGTAATGGTAATCCTATTTAACAAATGAAAAAAAAAATGAAAACATTCAACATACAAATGCACTACAGGTTAGACAGTGAAAGAAAATTGTAGATGTTTTGTGTTTTTGTCTTCTGTACCTACAAAATCTCTGGGCTGATCTAAGTCAGGGCATGGCTAACTCACAGATCAAACCCTGAAACAACCTCTGGGCTGATCAAAGTCCGGGCATGGCTAACTCACAGATATTGGGATTTGGTTTTGCAGAGAGAGAAAAACCAGAAAACAGGGAGAATCTTTAATCCCTCAAATGAAACTCTACCCATAAACATGTATTGGAAGTTCATATAGCACTAAGAGTTTTTTAAAGTATCTATTGATATGTCCTGGGATTCCTTACCTCCTGCTTCCAGTAAAAGCTTAGCCACATTCATGTGGTTATTGTTCACTGCATCATGTAGAGGAGTTGTTCCACAGCATGGAGATGCAAGGATGTACAGACCTGGCATGCCTGGAGTATGAATGAAAAAATGAATGAACGAAGGAAGGAAGGAATGAAGGAATGAATAAATGAAGGATTGGATGGATGGATGAAGGAATGGATGGATGGATGAAATATGGACTCATCAAATGACTAACTATGGGTGTCATGATATAAAAATAATCATTGAATAAGCTGAATGAAATGAAAAAAAGAATGAACAAGATATACGAGTCCAAAAGATAGATCAATCACAGTGAGACACATCATTAAGTTACCTTCATTCCTAGTTGTCTTATAGACAAGTGGTCGTACTTTAAGGATCTCTTCAACACATGCCTCATTGCCATGGTTACAAGCCTCATGTAAAGGAGTCCAGCCAGCATGGTCAGTTAGATTGACATCAGCACCAGCTTCAATCAATTCTCGGATCTTTGGTGGTTCATTCTTGATTGCTGCTTTATGCAATGGGGTTTCACCTGTATGTATGTATAATTTGTTTATCTTTAGATAGGTGTCCTCAATTAGCATACTTTAATGTAAGCTAGATACTTATGACACATAAATAAAGGTTATTATTATTATTATTATTATTATCATCATTATCTAACAAAGACCAAAAGTGTCGTCACATTTTTCTTTGCATTTCCTTTCTATATGAAGATCAATTTCATAAATAGATTGACATTACTTTAGATTATGTTAGACCACAGCAAACTGAGCAAACTTACCACGGGCATTTCTTTTATTGACCATCAATTTCTTAAGTTTCATTGCTGGTTCTTTGTGTAGGTCATTGGATATACTGTGGTAGGTGTTGGCATCCCTATCAAGAGACAATACATGATCCATATTATAATATAACTATATTATCAGCTTCTTCATTGTAATTTACTTTTCTTTTCTAACAACATGACATATAAATATACGGCATATTTCGAGACACAACATATATTACAATTTATTTCTTCATTTCCACTTTCGTATGGACCAAAACTCCTTGTGCATGCTATGAAAGCATGCTGAAATAACTGCAGCAATACATGCCATGTATGAAGATAACAAAATGACACGTATAATGCTTACGTAATCAACCTCAGTGCAGTATGTCTTGAAGCATCTTTGTTCGTTATGGGGTCTGACTCAGGGCTTGTATTCTCCACATTCATTGCTGGGCTTGTGGTGCTTGATACTGGAAGTAGGAAGAAGTAACAGCAAACCTGAAAGAGATTAGATTTATTTATTTCTACATGTAATTGACTAAACGACAATCTTGGAATAAATTATACTACATTTCACTAGGACATAAGAATAATTTATATTTTATACTTACAATTTTCTCCATACACAGTCCTTTAGCCAAGAGATGTTTACTTTCTTGGGGCACTAGACAATCATCATATGAATGCAGCATGATATCAAGCACCTTCATCTTGAGCCAAGCAGGACGGCAACTCTCCAGCAACATCCTAAGACTACCCTCCTGATCATGTGACCTGCCACATGTTAAAACCAACTCTGTTGCTAGGGATACCATTCTTGATCCAACTTTAGCACCAGAGGTATTAGTACCCAATGTTGATTGGTCCATGTATTCAAAGCATGCTGCTACCATGGCAACCAGACCCTGGAGGGCCAAGAGGACTTGGATCTTGACATTGTCTTCTTCTGATTGTTTAGCACTGATCCATAATAGTTTGAAAAGCTGTCGAACTGCACGATTAACAGAGCCACCTTGGCCATCTGGCCATATAATGTTCCATATTAGTGACTCTTTATGCGTGTACAAACCTCCTGAATATTCCTTCTTTTCTTTTACAGCTTGAAAGTCTTTTTCTAAAACACCACAGAGGAATTTGATAAGGAGTAAACTGTTGTCTCTTGTTTGCCTGAGGGAACAGAATATCTAATGATTAGGGACGATAATAGATTACAACGATCTCTTTGTTCCCTCCCTAACTATTGACCATACTTGTGTCTCATAACTCACCCCCTGACCATGCCTGCGTCTTGTACCTCCCCCCCCCCACACACACACTATAATTTTTGCTGTATTTAATCATAAAACAATAATCCAACTTATAATATTAGGTATATAGATGGTTTTGCAGTAACATAGGGTGCCTAAATTTTTTTACAATCTCATTTTTTCGGCAATAATTACCTTGAAGTACTAGCATCCTTGATGTAATTACCATTTTTCACTTCTAATGCCAAGCTGAAAAAGAGATAGAAAGTAATCTTGATTTTTTTTTTAATCATGTGAAGCATATTGCCTTAATGAAAGGAGAGAAGGCAATTTCAAAGGGCTTGGGAAGTGGTGACAAAGAACTGTATATTGTGTAGGTGCAGAAAATGTCTATACCTCCTTTTTCCACATGGTAAAAAAAGGAATTTCTACTGTAAGTTGTTGGAAGGATATTTCACTCCGACGAAGGACTAGCATCTGAAATGTCAGTAAGTTTCTTCATTTTTTCATCTTTTCATGGTGTAAAATTTACCCTTTGATCATTACTGTTTCATTAGAAACACCGATGCAGCTCAAGCTAGTTTTTAGCTACTTTTGTCTCTTCTGGGTTTACAAAGGGTATATTTCACGATTAAAGAAAAACTGAGAAAACATGTAAAATAATACAAATGTCTTTCTAACCTAAATGTGTCAGATAGGAATTCCCATGCACTTGATTTGGCCTTGACTATTCCTTTACTTGAACTTATTGGGGACTGCATTGCCTGTTGATACAAATAGCTCCTAACAGGGGGAGGGTGGAGAGAAACCAGATGATGTAGCACCATGTATGCCTGACTAGCTAATTGTGGTGTTGATGCCTTCTGTTAAAGGGGAAAAAATCAGTTTTACTTCATAGCACAGCTGGGCTGTCTGTGTGGTGAAAAATTAGCTGAGAACACATATTTGGCATGGGCCTATATATATATGTGTATGAATACCTACCAATAAGAAGCTATTAATAATGGTGTATTCTAGGCTAGATGTAGGGTTTATAGTACTGGACAGGAATGACGTACTTGTCATATACTATGAAGTAATAATACCTACCAGTAAGAACCTATTAATAATGGTGTATACTAGGTTAGATGTAGGGTTTATAGTACTGGACAGGAATGACGTACTTGTCATATACTATGAAGTATAAATAATAAAGTATAAATAATAAAGTATAAATAATAAAGTATAAATAATACCTACCAGTAAGAATCTATTAATAATGGTGTATACGAGGCTAGGTGCTGGGTGTCTGGTACTGGACAGAAATGAAGTGATTGTCGATAGGACTATTGATTCATGTCCCTCTTCTTCTAAGTAACTATCAATAGCATTGACAACATACGTTGGGAAGGTGGAGACTGACTTTTTAGACTGAAAAAAAAAGAAAATGAGATGGGAATGAAATAGAGAATGGGAGAGAAATGGAACAAAATTTGCATTTTTATCAAACCATGGATATCATACTCTACTGACCTTAAGATGTGCTTGATTTGAAGGTCTTTCACAAGTAGTCAAGTCCATATTTAGCACCCAAGGACTAGTGCTGTGCCATTCAAGCCAATTGGGGAAAATTTCCTCATGATTCTTTATCTATAAAATATTAAAATGAGATGCATACATTGAAAATTCTTTAAGATAAAGGGTGTAAAAGGTCAGTATCCTAAACTTATTTGGGTTGTATACAGTGCTATCATGGGTATGGTTCATAATAAGCATGCTATTGAGGACGTATCTAATTCTCACTGAGGTAGTCGGAAGTAGAGACAGAAGAGATTAATATATGTTATACTGATCTAATTAATTGACACCACATGAGTCAAATACAGTGATGTCCTATTATTTCAATGCCCAGATTTCTCAAACTTTACATTATCTCAACCTTAAGGCTGGTACAGCTGTAGGTCCCATGAACTTCAGTCACTATAATTTTACCCTTGATATCAGATCTTTCCCCTGATCCCCAGGAGGTTCAAAACAATAGTTTTTAAAAGAAAAATAACTCTTGGAAAAATTACCTGTTTGAGTTTCTTGGGTGGGGAGGGGTGGTCTTCAATCAAGATTGCCTCGGCTTGTCTCTTCTGCCCCTGGTTTCTCATCTTGATGTCACTGATTCTTGACTTTGTCTTGGGTGCTCCACATTCCCCAGGGGGGTATACTGGGGTGATGTATCGGTTGGTTGGTTCTCTGTTGACAGTCTTTGGAATTGCTTTTGGGTTGGAGTAATTGAGAATGGAAAAGTCATCCATTGATGGAATGGGATCCTAAATTGAAAAAGAAAAAATATATTTTGAAAATTCAAAAGTGGGCTTGACATCATACAATGTTCATCCAGAATTGGAACTTTTCTGGTCAAATCTTTGCCTTGCCAGGAAACGAAGGGAAATAAAGGTATGACCAAGCTAAAACTAATTCATTATACTATTATATATGCTAAATATATATACTATTTTAATACTTATTGGCCATTATTTTAAGCCCTGAAATTAGTAAAAATTGAATTTAGTACATGTGTGAAGCTGCCATTGTGGTTTTAGTCCCATTGGACTAATATACAATCGTCTCTACCTGTAGTAAAAACATGTGTAATAGGTAAATTATGAGCCTTAGCCTTTACCTGTAGTATGTATTCTGGGATGTAATCAGGAGAAAGACAAGGGATTCCTGCATCAAGAAAGCACTGCACAACCTTCTCCATGGCTTTTTCAGCAAATACATGAGTAACTTTTTCAACCAGATTAGCTTGGAATGGTGGCCTAGCATTTAACACGGTTGCTTGTCCTGCATCTAGAAGCCTACAAGAAAATAACAATTACATTGAAAAAATATTTGATGTTATTATAAGTGGTATGGCATTGCTATGGTGCATCTTGCACTGCTATGGCACATCTTGCACTGCTATGGCACATCTTGCACTGCTATGGCGCATCTTGCACTGCTATGGCGCATCTTGCACTGCTATGGCGCATCTTGCACTGCTATGTAGTTTATGCCTGGGGTCAAAGGTTCAATTTCTTGACTGATCACAAACTGCATCTCAATTATCTGGAGGAAAACTTCACCCCAACAATGTAGTGGCCTATTCAGATAAAATATAACAAAAATTAGATACCTTTTATATGCAATCTTCCTTTTCGCATCTTTGATCACAACCAATGTTCTCCACCCATGGAACGGTCCTCGCTGAGTCACATCGTATGCTTTTCTCCAGCGCATGGGAGCAGACACATGATCAAGTGGTATGCCAGTAATGTTACTGTCTTTATTCCATTCATATGCATCCTCATCAAGCCATCTTTGAGCCTTTGCACTATCCATGATATAATCCTTATTGAGAATCCATTTGCCTAAAATATTATGTAAAAAAAAATGTTACTTGAATGATATAATATAGGCCAATAATATAGTTTTTTTTTATTAAATTATTTTTTTTTTAATTTTTATTATTATCATCATGTTCATTGTCATCGTTGTCATCATCATTTCAAGTCTTTCCTACCTGTAGCACATCCACAAAGAAACTTTTCACCACGATTAGGCTTTTTACAAACAATGTGGCTTGAACTTGAGAAAAAATGCTGCGAGAAAACACAAAAACTTAGCTTATATAGCCAGCTACAAGTTAACGTTTACGTTAGAAACGTGTTTTGACAGCACCCGGCCGGAACTTGATTTCAGTTGACTTCGGAGACGCGCGAAAATTCAAGTCAAATTGCTTAAACTTGGATTAAAAACGAAGAAATCGCTTGCGAATCGAATGATTCCTCAATAAATAAAAGTGAAGTTAACAGAGAAGATCTTTAAAAAGATGACATTGAGTTTGGTTCTGAGGTGTGAAGTTTGCAGACAACAAAACGTCATGCGAGAAAACAATTAAACATCTTGCTAAAACTTACTGGTGTTTCCGTATAAATGCCTCCTAAGGTTTGTATTGCATTATTTAGTTCTTCTCTTTCTTCTTGGGTGAAGGAAGAGAGAAGAAAGTGATATCTTTTGCGTTTTTCGGGCTGAGATCTGCTCAGATCTGCCGCCATCTTGATTCTGAACTTCCCGCGCGAACAACGCGTTAACCTTTTCGCCTTTACACAGGAAGCCCAACTGATGCATGTATGTATGAATAACAAATGAATGAATCTGTGAATGAATGAATGAATGAATGAATGAATACACAACATCATTTTATCGTCAACTGCATACATAAGACTTTCGAACAGCTAAACCTTTTTCATTTAAAACCATATATTGGGTCAGGCATAAATATTTCTTCAATGACGTCACATTAAAATAATTTTTTTTAAACATTTAGAAATTCAAAATGCATATCCCTGAGCGCTCAAAGGCTATTGAATTAAATGAGCTGAAATACTTAAAATACTTATGTTGTTCAAGATGAAAGTCTTTATTACAGTGAAGATTTTCTCTTTTTTACGTTCAAGCATGGTCATGTCAAAGGCACTTGTCAAAATTTGTTCGATGGGAGGGGTAGGAGAACTACAACACGCGATATTCCAAGCCAAATTACCTGTCTAAACGGAAATTAAAATGGTCAGTAATTATTTGATCATTTATTTATGATAGTTTTCCTTATATTCAAAGTTTTTGGAGTCGTTTTAAAATATTCATATTTTTAAAGTTATTTTTCCTTTATAATAGTTGACTCTTTTTCTACCTACCCTACCCCAGAGAGTAAATCTTGCAGAATATTTATAAACATGGCGTCCGAAGGCTTTTCCTGTCTTTCATCTTCAAATCAAAACTTCTCCTCTTACGCTTTTATCGAAATAAAGCTGGTTATTAAATGTGAGACAGACGAGAGTATTCTCCTTCAGCAATCTCCTGGATGTCACGACTGGGGGTCACCAAGTGTAGATATTTGTCAGGATGAATGTTTTGAGAACGCTGTCGAACGTTGGTGTAAAGAAAATATCGCACAAGTAAGCGATAATGATCGCCAAACCATGCGATTTTTATCAATGTTTTACCATCAATGTTAGCTTTATTTATCCCTTATGAATTGGTTAATCCTCTATTATGATTATTTGTCACTTTGAAAGGAATAATGGTTAGCTAACCTTTGTATGAATTCAAAAACTGAAAGCTTGGTAAGCTTAATTTGAATAGTTTGTGATAAGCCCAAGCGACGGATCAAATAAAAGTTTTGTTTTTGGCCGCTGAACAATTACTTTCTTTTTATTTATCTAATTGCTAAAATGATTTTTATCGATGTTATCAAACTATCAGCTGTTATAACCAGAAAACTTTATATCTTCTGTCAGATTATTAAGAATTAGCAAAGCTTTATAATTTATTATATGTGATATATTTATATTAATTTTGCTGGCTGCACGATTAGTGTGCAGAAAAGAGTTGACTTGGATAAGTGCCTGAAAATGCACCTTCAAAAGAACAAACTGTAGCAAATTGCGGTTGTGCTTCCTTTTGCATACTAAAAATCTAAGGAAATATTTTTTTTTTACTATACAATGTAGCTCTTGTTGCATCAATCACCTTTGCACTTGCAATATGTCATGAATTACATTACTATTAATGTCTTATTGCTACATGCTGATGAAAACAAGAGTCAGGACAGTTTAATGGGCAGTAGCTAGACTATACTGTCAATCAACAAAATTATTTGAGGTAGATGGTAACAGTACTCTAACGATCTATTTCATTGACAGTGGTCTACCACCGATTATCCTTTCATGACTTTTGTCTCAACCCGAACGAACCTAGCTATGCTTTGAGGAAGTAACACATGAGTGCATGGATCTTAGAGGAGGGGTGCAGGGGAAGTGCAACCTCCCCCATAGAAGAGCTGATATCTACTGCTTTTTTGGTGTTTTAGTTTGTAAAGGGTGCACCCACTCCTAAGACGAAAATCCTGGCTGGTGCACTCCCCTAGAAAATATCCTGGATCTGCCACTGTAGCGTATATTTACATTAGTCCACAGCTATTTTCCAAAAAGGAAAATATCCATTTCATTTATTTTTATTCATGAATTTTTTTTGTTATTACATCAGACACATTTCATCAAAAATCAAGGCATACTTGGAATAAGAAGCAGTCGGCACACCAATGATGCAAGAAAATTAACCTTTACATTCTTTATAACATGTCACCATGGCAACCAAGACAACGAAGATCTTGATGAAGGCATTTCCAACAAGAGTGAAGAGGAAGAGTCTGATGCAGATAAATCCAAAGTTATATCAAGTTCACACAAAGAAATTGTCAGTAAAGACAGTCATCATTTGAAGTGGTTTAGTATTAACGAGGTAGTTGATTATCATAAGTCAGATCAACAAATAATATCAAGAGAAGCCATAGAATGGACATCTCAGATATTTACACAAGGTAAGAGAATAACTATAATATTAGAATGTAACAAACTAACTCTGGTTAGTGACAGGTTGAGATAAGTCTTTTAGAGATTGGCAATGATGAGGATGGGATTTGGTGCCTTGATGCTGTCTCAAAGGATGCGAGACCCCCCCCCCCCGTGGCATGGTAACCATGGTAACTAGTCATGGTCCACCACCTGACATCTGTCACACCTTACCAGGGAGAAAAATGTGGAATCAACAGACTTATTCTGGTTGCCTCCATCTAACAAAAAATCGACTTCTAAATCCCAATTTGACAATGGAATAAAGGTGATAGTTTAGTGATTACTAGCTTTTATTTACTACAGAATTCCAGCTGATGCCTTTGAACTTTCTTGAGAATACTTATTCCTTGTCAACTGCGTCATCAAAATATGTTACATTTAACTCTCAACTTGCCAAGAAACCAGCATTACACAGAACTAGTGTGAAAACAACTGAGACTCCAGACCCCACAACAGCACGTGAGTTTGATAATAATGACGATGATGATGATGAGGATAATGATAATGAAGATGATGAGGATGATGATGATGATGAGAAAGAAGAGGAGGAAGAACAAGACATCAAAACAAGAAATGGATCAAATAGATCAGATGATAATGTTACAGATAAGTCTTCTTACGACAAACTTGTGTTGTCAGCACATTTTGGAAAGCTAGGTAAATATGAATATCTGTTTGTAACTAAATTAGTTTGACCCCATGAGAAATTCAGTTTCAAGTAGTGTGAGGGGTGAGTCCGAAGAGACCTAAACATTCACTTGGGGAAAATTGGGGTTGGGCCTAAAAAATGAGAGGCATTGTTAAAGTGCCACATATTATACATTGCTATACTATACCATACTGACTATACATACCACTCCCTAGATTATGAACATCTCATCTTTCTTTTTGTTTCAGAGCAATCTTATATCAACAAACTGTTTCTCAAGTATTCTTGTAATGAAAGCAAGACTGTAGATAAAAGAAGATTTTGCGAAATGATGAAAGAGTTGAAAGCAGACTTTGAGGAGAGCCAAATTGATGACTATTTTCGGTAAAAATATTTTACTATTTGCATTTTCAAAGATTACAACCAGATTCATAATATCCAAATGATTTCCATACTTACCACTAAAGAGGGATTATTCTTAGACATCCCACCACCAACAGGATGTTCCATACAGTTCTTAAAAACAGCCTTCAAATTTTATCAATACCCTGAAACAACCTCTGGGCTGATCAAAGTCAGGGCACAGCAGCTAACTCACAGATCAAATTGGAATTTAGAGTGTTAAGTTTTGCAGAGGGAGAAAAACTGGAGAACCCAGAGAAAAACCCTGGAATTGAGGGAATGACCTAAGAAACTCTACTCACATGTGATACTGAATCAGGAAAACAAAACCAAAATCCTTGAGGTGAAACGTGTGCCCTACTGCTAAGTCACCTTTGGGAAGAGGGACAGGTAGGGGAATTGCCTGCAGATTCACTCCATGAATGCATATGAGTGCAAGCAAAAAGATGTATAAACTATGGTAATGCAAATTCAAACACAAACACAAGGAATGGAAACTTTTTCATGCGTTTGCATTTGTGGCTGCATAAATGCAATCTCAAACTCAAAACCAATAACGTTTGCATGCATACCTTAATTTGCTCAATCTTGCACTTATGGTTGCGTTTGCATTGGGTTACAGTTGCATTGCTCTTGTAAGACAGGCTTTACAACTACACAACATACCTTCCTCAGATCCTCCCCATCACCTGCAAATACCAACCCCATCCATGGGGGAGGTATGGATATTTCATGGAACTACACAATATACCCTCCTCAGACCCTCCCCATCACTTGCAAACACCAATCCCATCCATG